TATGTAGTCTAATAATGAAGTTAATAAACCTTACTGCAGACTGACGTCTGTATCATTCATAGACTGTATATACAAATGGACCGCATGCCTCAGCCTCCTCGCATTGAACAGGATGAAGCCAGAATATTCCTGTGGCACCTGTGATGGGTGCTGAATAATTACGATTTTGCAAGCAGTCTGCGCAGTAGGGATTGACTGACAGAGCTGCAGTATGAGCTGTGTTGGTGTTCATTGTGTTTTGCTTATTCTGCTGTAGTCTGCTAATAGATGAGCCTCATTTGCCTTTTAAGACCACAGACTACTTACATGTACTTCAAAGGACATGAGAAAATAAAGAGCCAAAAGAGTTACACACAATACAGCCTTTAATTTTAGAATTACACAAGAATGTCAGGCAGGTGATCTGTCACTCAATCTCATTTTCTGTGTTTTAATGGACCATGAAGAAAGTGCTCAATGTAAATACCTCAGTTGGAAGAGACTGTAGCTTTATAACAACAGTAACTTTATTTACATATGTAAAATATCTTTAACCCACATCATTCCTTAAATCATTCTGATAATGATGATTTCAACTTCACTGTTTACATGGATGCCAAATTAATGCTGCTAATCTTCACATTAAAACCATTTTGTTGTCCGAGTTACAATGTTACAATGTTACAATGTTACAGTTCACTTAGCAGATGCTTTTATCCACAAGGGGAACTAGTGATGAAAAATGAAAAAATGTTTTTAATAAGCCGTAGTTTGGACATTATTACTGGGCGATTTTTCTTTTATCTGCCAATTGTCCTCCCTGCATTTATTCCCGCAGCTGTGTCACTTTAGTCTCTGTGAGCCTGTTTGTTTAGAACGTCTTTATATTATTAATAGTTTGTTCAGAGTTTGTTAGATATGACGGTCTGCTGACGGGAGATGCAGTTATGCTTGCAATAGGTTATACGAAGTTAACACCGCCCTTTTTATGTGAACGCGCTCTTGGAAACTCGAGGGTAACTTATCAGGTTGATAACCAGCTTCGTATGACTGTTAATCACGGTCTCTTGTGTTAGGGTTAGTGTAGCCAGATAACCCAAAAATACCCTGGGTATGTTAATCTCACTTCCTAGTACAGGCCCCAGATCCCTCACCAGCCAGTCACACCTCGCTGCTCTTGTGGACAGCTGGTATGGCTCACAGTCCTTTCTGTCACAGTTGACCACGTTTGTCATTAAGTCATCAGCCAAATTCTGTGACAGTGTATTGTCTAGTGCTCTGTGTGAGTGTGTGTGTGTGTGTGTGTGTGTGTGTGTGTGTGTGTGTATTAGTACGTGTTCCTTGTTTTCTCGCTGTTTGATCTGTAGTTACAGTTTAAAGCATTAATCTTTCACTGTGGCTTCTCCTGACCTCATGTTCCTTTCACCTAATACCTTTTTTATTCCTCCGCAGGAGAGACACACTGTACTGTAGAGAACAGGGTGTTCTGCGAGTCGGAGCAAATAACTGCTTGCCGGTTGGAAAGATGAAATAGAGATTGAAAAGGCCACAGTGTGCATGAAAACACTGCGAAGGCCTTGAAGATCTGCTCTTTGAAGACCACCAGCATTGAGCAGAAAAACAGACAAATACACACACGTTGACCTGCGCTCGTACCCTGTTTTTTTTTTTTCTCTCATTAAAGCAAGCAACTGCAATGTGAAAAAATAATCATAACGTAATTGGCATGGATTGCTGTGGCTTTTTCCACTCCTCCAGTTTCCTGAAGCATTTTAGTCCAAGTTGGTGTTAAGATCCAGCCTGTGGCATTTTGTGACAGAACCTGCTGACCTTGTTTGCAGTTTGGTAATTCATAGAGCTTGGATTCTCTGGAGGTGGTAAAGTGGTTGCTTTCACTGTCTTGCTGATATGTTACAGAACTCCAGCTGTCAGCAGGTAGATGGCTTACACATGTCACAGATTAGATTACACACAGGTTTCCATGCTGCTGACAAAGCATTAAAGCAGAAGACTCATGAGAGCAGGCTCTGCAGCACTTTAGACATGTACAGATACAGCAGATTCAAACTGTTTGCTTGGCTCATATTGACCACTTAACCTAACAAGGCTCCTCCATGACCAGAGCCACAAAAAATGACTCTGGAAATGTGTACCTCCTATTCACAGCAGCTGTCACAATTTATGACACAGCAGTGTCACAAACGACTTTGCATCTTAAGTTCTGTGTTTGTAGTTCTATTTCTCCCATGAAAACTTCAGACTGACTATCTGAGGTTAAATGTTGTTTGTGTCGTCTACGCTAGCTGCATTTGTGCAGTCAAATTCTGCATTTCATTATGCTACTACAGGAGACAAGATAGCAACCTTCGATAAAGCTTGGCCGTTTTAGGATATAGAACCCATGCTCCTCTTTTTGTGGAGGCCTTTTTTAGAAATCTCTGTAAGAGGCATAGTGCTTTTATCACTTGTCACTAGAACTCCATGAATCCTCAGTGTTTAAAATATAAGTTAACAGACAGTCAAACATGACTTTAAACAGTGAAACCACGTGTGCATTGAAATTGTAATAACAAAAAAATACAAAATCACAAAAACGCAATATATGGCACCTTATTTTTTATATGTAAATACATGCTGCTGTTTTCATCCTGCACTACAACGAGCCAAATGCAACGAAATTTCGTTCTTATCTGCACTGTAAAGTACAAGTTTGAATGACAATAAAGAAAGTCTAAGTCTAAGTCTAAGTCTAGAGCAGTATAACATGAAAATAATTTCTTTAACCTCAATTTAATGAAAAAAGTTACTTTTCATTGGCTGGTGCAATGTTCAGGGTCATGTCTGCACCAGTTTTATTAACTATGCTCAAAAGCAAATATTTCCATCCCTGTGCAAGCATTATAAACAGATTTTCTTGTCCAAACCAATTTGGGGACTATTTTGGTTTTAGCTGTGAACCACCTCAGGGCTAAAGGCTAGACAATCATAAGAACTGCTCCACTCAGGAGACTGTAGGAGTTTATTTTAGGATATTGCATTGGTCTCTTCAATGAAACTCAGGAGGCAGTGTTCAATTCTCAGTTCAATTTAGTGTCAGTCATTCTGCAATGAGCAAAGCAATGATCTGATAGCTAAGCACAAGGTGCAGTCTAATATCAGTGTGACTTTTTGTGAATGTACCCTATATGTGATTAGATGTAAGGTAAGGTCTATCAAAATGTCAGATCTGACAGGAATAATGAGGGTTTAGTTTCCAATTTATTTAGCTTACCTTAGTTTCTCCATCAGAATAAAATCTCTACTTTACTCACAATGTGATTCATGATCTATCTTGCAGATTACCTTGGAGTTTGCTGACCATATTCCTCATGCACAAAGTCATCCCTTAAGCCAAACTCAAATTTGTTTTCATAAAATAATCCTGAATGGGTTGTTCTCTGATTCCTTTAGTTTGACACTCTACTAGTCAGTGGGTAAAGTGGGAAAAATGCCTGTTGTTGTCTTTGTCTCAGTAGAGCACATGGTGAATTATCATGGTGGTCTTTATCTCCGACGTCATACTGAGGGTTTGAAGCTTAAACGCAGACGACTCACGTTTGTATTGTTTAAAATATTTATTGCAACATAGTTTGTGTTTGGCGTCTAGGCTCCGACATCATCACTCCTCAGTTTTATTTTACATACAGAAATTTGAGGAGTGAGTGGATGACATCTTAACCCCCCCCCCAGTTGGAGCCTACAAGTGGATGCTGGGGTGGTGGTGGGGCTGAGTGTGAGTGCAGTACTGCTGCAGGTCAGACAGTGAAAGAGCTGAGGGAGAGAACGGAAATCTTGCAGCTTAAATAGATCACTAATTGGAAGTCGGTGTTGTCAGGTGATTGTTGAGTGTGAAATCAGTGCAGCTCAAGTTGACTGCCTGAACTAGCTCCCAGGCGTCGCCTCATTTATAATAATAAACTGCTGCGTTCCAGGTTCTATATTGTACAGGTTTAGAACATGACAGATGGCTTTCATTGCACTAATGCTTGATTTATCAGCTAAATGTGATAAAGTCATATCTCCAGGATAAAAAGGCACACTTTTCATAATCCATATATCCATTGCATACCGTTCAACAACAGCTAATGATCACATTCAAAAGCTTCCTTGCTAAAATAACTTTAATACAGGGGATTTGATAGTGACAGCTGATTCAACCTCCCAGTTGGTATCAAAGAAATTCCCTCCAGATGTTAACTTTCTGCCTTTATAGTCATCATCTATTTTGATATATACTGAGGAAAAGGAATAATAATGTTTTGTTAGAGTTCCTGTCCATAAGACTTGTAAATCTGGAACACAGAAGTACATTATGACATCATTTGAGTTTTCCACCCTGCGCATGGTACTGTGTGGCATAAAGCTACTCTGGTCTGAATGCCTTGGCTGACCTTGGTTTTTTTTCCATCCTGATTTAACAAGGAGACAGGAAAGAGCTGCCTTTTCTTTTTTAAATGTTTGAATGTCATACAGATGTTGGCGTACTTAAATATGGATAGAGAATGTTGTTGCAGCTCACCTTCGAGGCCATCCGTGCCAAGGGCTTTATTGCTTTAAAGTGTATTGATGGCCCTTTGAATCTCTCCTACGTAAATTTCAGAGTTTAATCTAGCTTTTTCTTTATCGAATAGGGAGAGTCTGCATTTATATATAAAAAAAAATGTGGAGCACTTTATCATTGATTGGAGCAGCCTTGGGTCTCTGATTGAGCTCTGAAAGCTTTTCATCTTACAAGTACTAACACTAATGCACATTATTTAAAAAGGAAAGCTGATGAAAGATGGAATCAAACAGAATCAGTGTACTTGAAACTTTCTTATAAAGCGAGGACATTTATGAGTCACCACATGGTAGCAACTGTGAATCAAATCCTCCGAAAGGAAAGTCAAGGACTTCCACTCAGGTGTATGACGAATGTTGTGCAAAGGCGTCAACATGAAAATACTCGAGCCACCTGAAAGAAGTACAATCACACTCCACAGTGTCAGTGTCTCTCAGAACTTTTTTTTTTATTTCCCATGCATAGTTTGGACAAGAGTGTAGTGGAACTGAAATGAAATTAAAAATATGAAGAAAATAAAAGTTTGGACATTCATTGTGATTTTCTCCATTTTGGACTGGACATCAGAGGAATCATTAACACAAAATGTTTGCATCTAGAAAAAGGAAAAAGTTGAATAGGAGGTTTTTAAATCTTTCAGTCCTTCAAGGTAGAACGATGACGCATTGTGGACGGGGGAAAAGTTCTGTATAACATAAATACATTACAAGAAAAACATCCCTAAAACTAAAACATTCAGCACATTTTTATACAACACAGTGCAATTAAATGGGGTAAGTTCAATAGATGATTTTGCACTTCCTCAATCCTTGACTAGTTGGCATGAGTTTGTGACTTTCTTTTGCTTCCACTCTCTTGTTTTATGGACTGGGAGAGACGGAACAGCTCAATTGTGAACACTTAGTGGTAAGATGTGTCGGGTACAGCAGAGAGGAAAATCAATAATGATTAAAACAAATCCTTCACTTTGACATTTTGTTTAAGGTTACAGGAACAGACGATCAGGGGTGTATTTGGATATTTGCTCTCACTGAATAAACAAAGGTGCAGATCTTTCCTGTGTTAGGTTTACCGTTGTTTTCAGCAGGACAAACCTTTGACCCTCGATCACCCATCTATATGTGCTTTTGCCTTGAGCCAAACACACCTAATGATAATTTATTCAGTGTCTGCTGGAGGTCCAAATGCTGCTTTAGAGGCTTTCACACTGACAAAGGTTGAATCCTGAGGGTATCTGTTTCTTTTTTACAATTCAGGGACCAAATCTTTTTGTAATGTTGACAGACTCATTTTAAAACTAATTCTGAGCATTAAAAACCTAAGATGCATCTTACTGTTCACCTGTATGTTAGAAAAAGAAAGGTGTTTCACAGCACTAACTAACACTGGATTGAAACTGCAGCAGGTGCAGGTGGTGTAAACTTGTTAAGTGTGCATATGCTTGAAAGGGCAAAGAGGTGAGAGAGGAACAGTATGGCCTTCTCATGCACACATAACCCATAGCCACTATAAGTGAGCATTACATGCAGTATCTGCTCTATCTAGAGGCAGGAGTGGCCAGTCCCTGCTAAGCCTTCATTTCCGGACAGAAAACATTTTTTTAAAGGCAGAATGGTCAGGATTTCTGAAATGTGAAGACTGATAAAACCTTATTCATCTCAATCTTTTTCACCCCTTAGAAACATAAGGCCGTGTCTGCCATAGAGCTTTTCACTGGTACAATATGACGGACCTGGAATATTTGTTTTAAGAAACAAGACCAAATTCCTCACTAAAATAGTGGGAATTATTGTTACAATTCTTGTTCAATATTACAATCGTGTTTCAATCCACATGGCTGTACTGCTTTTTAATGTTTTTAGCTTTACGTTTATTTTACTCAACAGTGTGAACAGGCCAGAGAAAACCTTCTCATTCTGCCTTTAAAAGACAATTTAAGATTTGTATCAACACAAAAGTAATGATGTGCTTTGTGCATCCTCAGTATAGGTGTGAATTGCCAGTAAAAAAACAAAAAACAATTTAACTGAAAATGTGTTTTGTGAACTGAAACCTTTGAAGCTACTTCGTTTTCACCGTAGTACAGAGACAACAGTATCAGACGAGCTGTCATCGTCTTCCTGATGTGAAAACTGTAAGTCAGGAAGCTGTTCTGATCCAATCTTGTTGTTAAATCAACAAAGTACACGAGGGGAGGAAAATAAACGACGCTGGTTTTTAAGAGCTCACCATCAATTAAAGACTACATCAAAAGCTAACGTGATAACAAAGTTCAGTGTGATCCCAGTGATTACTGTGAGAAGATATTACATATCTACACTTAGAAAATACACTTCAATACACCCAGATCCAAACAGTTCCTTCAGACAGTATGAAAATATACAAATAAAAAATACAAATACTCTCAGACACCAGGTAGGTAGTTTTCTGTTGACATGAAATCAGTGAGGACTAAAAGATAGAAGATAAATATTTCACATTTTTTTCTCCCTTGCAAATTGAAGAGAAACTTAAAAAGAAACGGTGTCAAAGAAAAGAAACTGTCCATTTTGAAATATTATCCTTCAGTAATTAGTAACATTGTGATACAGCGTATTTCTTTTTCAGCTAAAACGCTTAGCTTCTCTAGTAAGCAAAAAAAAAAAAAAAAAGAGCCAGTGTTGAAACCAAAAGCATTATAGAACTCTTTTTTTCAGACATCTTATACTATGCACAGATAATAAAAACATAAACAATGATCAAGTCTTCTCCACACATGATTCCTCTGTTTAGGTCATGAACATTAAGAGCTCTGGAAAAGATCGGAGATCCATCATAATCAGCATCACCATTACTCTATCACCATCAGTCAGACTGTAATTACTGCCGTTATAAACTCAGTTCAACAGAGAGACAGAAAAGAGGTTGTTGACAGATCTTTTAGATGTCCCATGAAACAACACACTGTGAGGCCTGGGAGTGGTTCAACTGTGGGCTGGGCTACATAAAAAAAATGAGTGTCTTGGGCACAAGGGCACACCAGCGTGTGCAGGTAGCATCGCCTCAGCTCTTAGTGTACTATAAACTTTGACCCATATGAGGAGGGATATCAGTCAATATGTTCGTAACACCACCTGCAGACACTGCTCTAGGGGCAGCGGGGCGTCAGGCCCAGGCAGGTGAGTAACAGTCATTTATTGTCATTCATGGTCGTGCCAGCTTTGCCTTTTTGGCACCTATGTGGAAGGACTGGCAGAGGAGGAGGGACATCTGAGCTTCTTGGAACTTAAAGAAGGAAAGCCTCCACTCGGAAAGATAAAGGGGAGGAAGGAAGGAGGGAAATAACTCATTTTACATGTTCCGCACTGTGGGAAGAGCAATAGTATTTCTTATGAGCTATGAATGTGGAGAGGCTGCTGAACTTGATGTTGCAAAGCCGACAGAAGCGGGAGTTACCATTTTGGACGGGGGAGATGACTGAGGTTTTAGGGCCAGGGCTGGTAGTGGGCTTGGGTGCCACAGCCTGAGTGGCCTTGTCTGGAAGATGGATTGACCCCACGGTCTCTCTCAGGATTTCAGGCACAGGTGACAAAGTCAGGGAGGGAGCCCTTTGAGGAGACGTGGGTAGAGGTGAGCCAGCTGAGGGTGAACAAGCCCTGGCTGAAGGGCTGCCGTTTACCAGTGGAGACACAGGAGAAGTTGTACCGCTCCTTGCCTGCCCATTGATGCTGTCTCTGTGCACTCGAGAGATCAGTCTGGGCTGGCTGGTGGGGGTGGTGGAGATGGTTGCTGCAGCTCCATCCCTGGGACTAAGGCTAGGGCTGCGGCTGGATACACTGCCTGGCTGGGGTAGGATCTCCTGGGGTGGGTGAATGGCCACAACCAGGCCGTGGGTAGTCTTGAAATGCTCCATAAGGTCACAGGTGATGATCCTGTTAGGGCAATACGGGCAGACCACCTGAGCAGAGCTAACAGCTACAACTTTGGCTCCAGCTCCAGGGGTCGCGGCAAGTGATGTGGTCAAATGGGGCGGGGATGTTGTGGCTGAGGCGGGTAAGGCGGATGAGTGAGGACTGGATGATGGGCCTTGAGCCCGGGCGACCCACTCAGCAGGGAGGGCTTTGGCCTCCATAGGATGCAGATGATCTGGACGATCTTGCTGAAGCCTGCTTTTGGGAGAGGTAGAGGCCGATCTCTTGAGCCTGTGAAGTTGCTCCAAGGTTTGTGGCTGGAGAGTGGTGGCAGGGCAATAGTAGGTTTTATGTGCCAGGTAGTTCTCAATGCTGTTGAAGCTGATACTGCAGGCGGTGCACTTGTGGTAGTCGGTAAGAGGCAGGGCAGGGAGAACGCTGCTACTGCTGTGCCTTGGAACCTCTCTTAAACGGGGCCTCTTGCTTAGGTCAATCGGGCCATCTCCTTCAGGGCTTGAGCTGCCTGCCCCGCCTGGAGAAGCTTCTCGCTTCACTGCTAAGCCCAGAACAGATGGAGATGGGGCAGAGGCTGCAGCGTTTGCAGCAGCGGCAGCAGCAACAGCAGCAGCAGCGTTAGCTAGGGCTTCAGTTCTCGCCATGTGAATCTCATACATCTTTTTCCTCTTTCGTGTGCGTATGGGCTGGGGGAGGAATGCGGCTGCATTGGTTGCCTTGGTCACAGAACGGTGGTTAGACGGGTCATGGCGTGAAGCACAGTAGAAGCGTTTGTGAACAGTATAGTTTTCATGACGGCTGAAGCGGATGTTGCAGGCCTCGCAGAAGGTTTTATTGGGATCATCTTCAAGGTCCTCTGCAGATCCACTAGCAGGACTCTGGCTGCCCTCGCTTGCTCGTCCTCCTCCAGCCCCTCCTCCCACACTTCCACCTCCACCTTCCCCTTCTGAAGAAGATGATATTCCCTCTCTCCCTACAGGGGTTTCTGTCTTCACTTCCACCACCCTCCTTGGTTCTGTTGTTCCACTCCCTGCAGGGGGATCAGAGTCAGTAGGAGAGGCAGAGGCTGCTCTACTTGCTGCTCCAGCCTTGGGGGACACGGACAAGCCTTGGGTCCCGCTGGAAGGCACCATGGATGGGGCTGTATCCCTGGCTAGCCCAGGACCTGAAGCCGATGTTGCACCTTCCCCATGGTGCCTGCTGGAGCAGTACAGCCTCTTATGTGCATAGAAATTGTTAATGTTGTTGAAGGTGATATCGCACTCAAAACAGGTGGCTCCTTTGTGAGGTGGAGTGGCTGTTGCTGTAGCTGCAGTCGGTCCAGAGGGGAAGAAGGCCGCTGGGTTATTCTGAGGAATTGTTTGGCCCTGTTTAAGACGGCTGTGTACCATCTCTGACATTTTAGCAAGTATCTCTGAGGCCTGAGGCAAAATGGCTGCCTCCGGGTTGAACATGTACTGAGGCAGGAACAACGCTCCTCCTGGAACGGCTGACCCTGTACCTCCTACATGAGCAGGGCTTGAACCAGGGGTGGGACTAGTTGGTTCTGCTTTCACAGCTGTGGTAGTTGGACTCTTTGGAGAGTTTGAATTCTGGCAGGAGGAGGTTGCAGTTTGAGTGTCCTTTATCCTACCTCTGGCTTCTTGATCCCTCTCTCCTTCATCGTCCTCCTTAATCTCCATTTGTTGCTCTTCGGTCTCAGAATCTGAATGAGGCTCCTCTTTAATCTTTATTTCAGTAATTTCAGGATCAGGATGACTATAATGACGAGGTGTGGCTGAGCCGCCATTTGCGCCTGGGCTGGATGAGTCTGGCTTAGGAACACAAGCAACGGGCTCCCTCTCCCGGGGAGACAGCTGGAGCTGGGAGTGGTCAACTGATGATGGGGTACCTTGGCGAGGGGTGGGGCTCCTTTCAGCTGGAACCCTGACCTCTAGGTGGGTCCGTACATGCTGCTGAAGCTGGGAAGGGGTTTCAGAGTTGTGGCCACACACTTGACACTTCAGCACCACACCAGAGTCTCCTGGACTGAGCCCTGAAGAAGAGATTCAACATTTGTTAACATATAACAGTAGCCGACATTAAAATGAATAACAAGGACCACAACAATGCGAGTGTAAGTAGTCAACATAGAGTCGCTCATGAGTTTTGCAGCCTAATGTGTGCTCTTGCGCTGCTTTGGTTATCTTGGTGCCTGAAGTGACCACATATGGTCGGGAAAATTGATAGGCATTGCTAAGCCCCATTCCTGGTTAGCAGATCACCAATGTAGTAAGTTATCAATCACAGGTTTCCAAGTACTAAAGCTTATCTTCCCTTTATTGTCTATTTAACTTCAAATTTGAGTATAATTCACAAAATGATGATTATTGAGTATTGAAAAAGACTTCAAACAAGCTGTTGACAAGATAAACCCATTTTGAAAGAAAGGTAATATTCTAATATACTTCATTACAATCAGACTTCTTTTACAACCAATGCAGCCACCTCCTGCTGGTCAAGCATTTTCACATTAGCTTTACTTTTAGAACAACAAGGTAACATTCAAATTGTACATCCAACTATTTGTTGAAGTTGTAAAAATGGAAATCTCTACTTGATCAACAGCCTTGAAGCCCTGACAGTAAAAAAAACATCACAGAGCCATACTGATGATGAAAACAAGCTGTCACAGTGATGGCGACTTACCAGTGGACAGGGGCAGCTTGGGAAGGCCTGGCCCTGGGGAGTAGACTTCACTGCGAGATCCAGGCTGGCACACCATGTGGCTGGTGACCAGATGGCTGTAGAGAATGTCCCTAGTGGTGGAAATGAAGCCACAACCATGACACACCCCATTCAGTGTGTCTGTGTGGACCTTAAGGTGGCGCTCACAGTTTGCTTTTGTGGTGAAGGCTGACAGACAGATGAGACAGACAAACGGACGCTCACCTGTGGAAGAACAGACACATTATTAGAGGGAGCTCATTTACAATACCAGCTTATTAACTGGGTGATGAAAGCAAGATACATAATCTGAGCCTTTGTCCATTATGCACACATACTGTAAGTCTTGCTCTCACCACTGTGTGTTCGCATGTGGATCTCGAGTGAGCTGGCACTAGGGCAGCTCTTGTTGCACTGTGGGAAAGGGCAGATGCGTTCATTCGGGTAGGACTCCTTGGGTTTGTCTTCTGGTGGGGAAGCTGCCGCAGCTGGCTGCTTTTGACGACTGGCGCAGTAGTACATAAGGTGTGCTTGAAGGTTCCTCTCACTGCGGTACCAGATCCCACAGTCCTTGCATGGGAATATGTCCTCTGATGGTCAACAGAACATACATTTAGAGTTAGTAGCCTGAATATAAACACATTAAATAAGAGTTTCACGAAAGCTAATAAAACACACAATTACAAAATTGGACAGCTATTTTGTATGGTGTTGATGTAAAACCTCAAGAACCTGAAGTGCTAAAAGTGATCTAATTTTTAAAGCCCGACCAAAAAGTAACTATGGAGACCATTACAGATACTGATTTAAGAAGGGAAATAAAAATGGAATAGCTGAAGAGAATAGTATATTTCTCTTTGTTGTTGTACAAATACAACTTAATTAATAAATACTTAACATTATTATACATTTTCGAGCAGTTCTAGGGCAGCCCATCTCCTGTTCTGTGTGATACTCTGCATCATGTGCTGTAGATAGTGTTGAGACTATTGTTAATCGAGGCGCTGGAATGGATATTGAAGTAATAAGAGTGTTTCAAAATCTTTCCCTGCATTCCTGCAATAACTTCTCATGTTAACACTTCCCAGAAATTTTCACTGCAGGTACTGATCTATGTGATAAAGATTCTTGTCGGCTGATATTAGCAGCAAACCAAAATATCTGTCTTGAATACCACACATTTAAATCACTCCCTTGATGAAACTTTTTAAGTTAATCAAGTATTGAGTATCCAAGGTAACAGGACATTCTGTAAGGTTAATGGAACAATAATTGTCACGTCTTGTCATCTTGTTGTATTTAACAACATCTAAATATTTGTTTCTGAGTTACTTGACCTTTCAATGTGTGATGATAACAAAAAAATCACAGCTAATTGAGTTTGTCTGTGTTTGGCCATCAGTCACATCTATCAGATCAATGATGCTGCACTGCCATCTTGAGGCCAAAGCGTATAATACTGTTTTAGAATTCTTATATTAAATACCTTATGTCACTTTTTTTGTACAATTTAAATACATAATCTTAAGAAATATACTTGTTCTTTGCTTTTCTTCTTTTTTTTGTATCCTTGGATCATTTAAATGTCAAACTGTCTAATCTTTAACTAACTTAGAATCTACTTATTTATCACATATATTACTATTGTGTTTTAATGCCTTGAACACAATACTCACTGTTGACAACAGCAGTAGCCAATATGGCGGCCATGCCAGCTTGCTGCGGGAGGAGCTGGATCTCTGAGCGCAGGGCTGCTGGGTACATAGGCTCCTCCTTTACAACAGGTTGTTTCTGGATGACCAAACTGAGTGGAGGAGAGAGTTGGGCCAGCGGGGAGGAGGAGGAACCCGGAGGAGGCATTGAAAGGGATGCCAGAAGCTTTTCACCTGCTAAAAGCTCCCTGGTCACCTTGCAGAATAACTCCTCACCTGAAAAAAGGCACAAGCTCAAAGTTATAACTGACGTGCCACAAAAGCAAAGCTCTGGAGTTGTGACACCTGAATAAAATGCTGAAATTATTATTGATGATGTTGGATATATGCATTACTGGTTATGTTGTAAAAAATCTGACCTGAAAAAATATATTCCAAAGTACTGCACAGGTTAAGTGTTCTCTGTAATCATAAATAAAATCTCACCCTGACTGTAGATGGTACAGTTGACAGCTGAGGGGTCAGAGGTCAGAGGGAGCAGTCTAATCCAACAGTCTGGATCTTCACAGACCAGAGTCAACCTTGAATCCTGTACAAAAACAAACACAGAAGAAGAATGGGATTAGGAATGACACAAGGAAGGAATTTTCATGGCCTGCTGCCGCGCCCCCTTCTCTGTGTGTGTGATTTAACTTTACCTTTGGAGAGAGAACAAAAATAACCTTACCCTAATAAAAGTATGAACGTATACAGCACGTATTGAAGCAAAAGGTCTATCATCTGAATAGGTTTCTGTTTGAAGAAGAAGACTAATGGAAATTAAATTTTACACTCTGTTGTAGACAATGCTACACACACAAATGTGTCACACACATGCACAAACAAGATCCTATGGACATGGACTAATGGAGAGATGTCAGAGTAAGGGGGCTTCCCACAGCGAGTGCTCCTGAGGTGATGGGGGGGGGGGGGGGGTTCATTGCCTTGCTCAAGGGAACTCAGGCAGTGAACTGGCACCTCTCCAGCTACCAGCATGCCTTTGTCTCTTGAAGTGCACATTCTCCTTTTTGTCTTGGCTGCTTTATAGTACGCTGACCATGATATAATCTTTAAAAAAACCTAAGTATAATTGCCATCAATTGGGAATACAGAGTCACACGGTACTGTCCATTGTGTGGCCGCTGGTAAACAGCCGTTTATAAAAAGAAGGCCAGCGAGCAAAGGATGATTACAACCCAAAAAGGAAATGAGGAAATGAGGGGAGCATAGGCTGAACAAAGCTGCATAGAAAATAAAGGAGAAAAGAGAAGAAGACGGATAAAAGAAGAAGAGAGACCCCGGGAGAGAGTGAGAGAAGAAAAGAAAGAGAAAGAGGATCTGATGAGGTCGATGGGCTGCTATTCAGATGGCTGCCATAATAAGATCCACAGTGAATACACTGAACAAAGAGTGGAGACGCATCATCCAGTGTCTGTGTGTGTGGTGGTATGAGAGAGAGAGAGAGAGAGAGAGAGAGAGAGAGGCCATTAAACACACACACACACACACACACACACACACACACACACACACAACACACACACAACACACACACACACACACACACACACCACACACACACACACACACACACACACACACACACACACACACACACACACACACACACACACACACACACACACACACACACACACCTGTGCATCCCGAGCACAATCTGCTCTTTGTTACAATGAACCTCCAGAAAAATTCCCTCTGACAATCACTCCCAGGACACAGGCTTATCCCATGTCTCCATAACACACACACTCACTCACTGACACACACACATTTTCACACTGGACCCACATGTTTTACTTCCAATGTCTACTGACAGTAAATGATGGCGAATGGCTTTCATCAACAAAAGCAGCCAGCGTCAACTTGTCCAATAATCTCTTAATGAGAACAGTTCCACAGTGGACTTGTGTATGTTTTTGATTGTCATGAATACACGAGACACTGGAACACGTCTCTGTTGTTCCAGTTGTTCCAGCTGTATGTTTTCCCTGTGCTGCGTGTCACTTTTGTTGTCTTCAGCTCCGCCCAGGTGAAGCTACTGATCACCTAACTAGGTTCACCCGGCCTCTATGCTTTAAGTCAAGCGCTGGCTTCAGGAGGAAAGAGGCTTTTGGTGTTGGGACGATGTGCCTCTGTGTTGTCTTGTAGAATGAGTTTTTGAGTTGATCATTTATTTTGTCTGTTAATAATACATCCCATGGTTTTGACTTTGGTGTATGGTGTGTTTCATTCGGGTCAATTTGTGCGTTTGTTGTTAGCCCCATAGGTCATATCATATTCTAAAAGCAGCAGACAGACGCTGAGGTCTTACTGACCACAAACATTTCATTAGTTCATGCTTGAGACAAAGTTAAATCGTGTGCCAAATTCAAAGAGATTTATTTTCACATGACTGTTCTGAGATATCAGGTTCACCCAGGATGAGACAGGACTAAAGGTCAGAAAAACATTTTTCCAGGACTTCAGTCACAGCTCAATTTAGGTGTATCTTTTGGTTGGCAAACATTAGTTTTTAATATTACTGTATCAAATACATGTGAAATTGTGTCACAATAAGCCTGTTGTATTCTTCACTTGAGGCCAGTTTTCTTTTGATAGATCACGGTTACCATGACCACCAAATCTAATTAGGTCCCTTCAAGAGTCAAATTGGAGGTTAGGTCAAAATTTTCCTCTCTGTGTTTTTAAAATATTCTGTTTGCAAAGGACGGGATAGACATGTGGAAAACATAAAGCATCCTACCACAGTTGTTGCCAGTGCAAAGGCCTTAACACTGCTGATATTAAACCATGCTTATGTCACATCCTCTCCAGAAGACATCAAACCTGATGTGCAAAATAAAACAGATGTGTTGTGAAGTTCAACACCTCGTGACACCCCTGGTTACTGTTTCTTCCAGAAATGATTCAGTGAGGCTCAACAATGTGTTCAATTCAATTTTACTAATACTTACTCATGAAAATACACACTTAACTAATACAACTATTTAAATGTTTCAGTGACCATGTTATGTGTTGTTTACTCTATCAAACTCACAATGTGAAGGCAGCAGTGTACTGTTCAGTGTTTGATGCAGTACTGATTATTCTCCACAGGGATGCAGTATTGCCTCATATCTCTCACATCAGACAGACTGAGTGGGTTCCGTCCATGGAGATCAAAGTTGACATAATGCTTGTGAATGTGTTTTGTTGTTAAAAATAAGCCTCAGCTCTCAAGGTGGGGTATTGTATTTAAATATGCATAACATTTAAGGTCTGGTTTGCACTATTCAACTAAGCTCCAACCAAACTAAGTGTTGTAGCATTTTACCAGCGATTATTATTCCTTTACCGCCTTCAACTTATCATGCAACACTGAACCCTTTATGAGTGAAAACGGGTAACAGAGTTATGTTTATTTAGAGAGGAACACTAAGCAGTGTGCACGAGGATGTGTAAAGCAGAGAGAGCAGGAAGTGTGTCTTCATAAAAAGTGGGAAATGTCCTGCATTCAGCCAAAAAAGAAACGAGTACACTGACGGATGAATAGTGTCACTGCACATGTTTCTGACCTCCCTTTATGTTCCATACGCAATAAACTGACAACAACCTGCTTCTCCTCTCTGTCACTGCTCTCCTACAGTCAATGCCCTTCATTGGACAACTAAATGTTATGTAGATTTAAAAATCTATCTGCTTTAGATACAGACAAGAATGTGAGTACAGGAAGTGACTTTTAAGGTGCACTTCTTCATCTGAACAAACACTATCCATTTGACACTTTAAGGTGTATAGATTTTATTTTATTTTCTCTTTTTTCTCTCAATCATTTCACATAATTAGGCCCAATATTTCATGTCTCTCCAAACTGTTCAACTTTAAATATCGAAACAAATCCAAACCGACTTTCTCTGTATCAACAATCTCTAACAAAACACTACATGCTATCAATTCATTCTTTCAAACTATGACCATGTGTAATCCATCAAAGAGGAACGTATGGTCAATTATAGAATAACGACTTCCACAACACTATGAGTCCATGTTATAAAATGAACTGCAGTAATTGCATGTTTGATCTGCATACAAAGGGCCACATAAAGTACATCATTGTTTGATTATTCATTTACTGTAAACTGTTTTCTAGCTGAGTGTCAATGTGGGCATTGTTGGCGACAGATCGTCTAAAATGAAAGTCATCTTTGCTTTAAAAAAGTAACAGTAGGAGCTTTGAGGTTTGAACTTGATTTATAATTAATTAAATCATTATTGTATTTTTTTCTGCATGTGAAAGCATATACGAGTCGGTGGATATATCATTATTTTGGTATTGAGTGAGCCTGTGTGTAAAGAAAATTTAAATATTAGCATGTTACTTGGAAGCATGTTATGGGAAAACAACATGAATTGTTTTAATGGTGTGGCCCACAACATCCTGATGTTGTGCCAGTTGTGTTCATAGTTTTGAAAATGTGATAATAGATTAGACAAGAGGAAGATGTCCATTGTAAAATAATGTATACAGCTACTAGGCTGTCAATGGTTTCCCATTAACTTTTGTAAATCATTAAATCTATAACCCAATTTAAAAAATATGCTAACTAATCCCATTTATACGCCGCTGACGAAGCAGCAGGAGCAACTTGGGGTTAGGTATCTTGCCCAACATGTTGCTGCAGGAGTTGGGAGTTGAGCTGGGGTTACGAGACGTGCGACTCTACAAACTGAGCCACAGCCCACATAAGGTTTCCTGATATGGGCTTAGGAGAAGGAGAAAAACACCACTGCCACGATAAAATGTGGGTTTGTTTGTGAAGCATAAGTTTGAGTGCTTTATGAAGAAAGGAGGTGTTGCCCTTAAACATTTCTTGGCAATGAAAGGGTCCCAATCAGAAAAAAAAGAATAGGTAAGAATATGTTTAACTATGCCTCAGGGGGCCAAACTGTCACACATAAAAATATTCAAATAAAAAACAAGTAAATAGTGGTTTAGATCGTCTTCCAAATGATAAATGAAATAACACACAAACTGAGTTGGTGTACAGTTGTATATATAAAATAGACGGCATTGATCCATTTATTACAGCCTATAACTTCCGACTAGCACTCCATTAGCTGAAGGATTTTGAAATACCTGAAGAAGCCAGACACAGTCTGTGAAGCCCGGAGAAGACAGTGAGAAGAGAGACAAGAAGGACGGAAGGAAGGAAGCATCTCTGTCTGTTGTACGTTGCAGATTGAGGCAGAGCGTATTGGATTTCATGGGGAACTAGCGCTGATGTGGAGATACGACTGCTTTTGTTTTAATTTGTAACCCAATGCTGGAGCCGTCTGAGCTGTAAGTACTGCTAATTTGTTTCAGACTAATTCATCACGGCCGCAGCTTTGGAATTCACCATGATAGGGCAATGGGGAGAACTCAGCAACGCTCCATCAGAAAACACACACACACACACACACACACACATATATATACAAAGCAAGAAAAAACCCCAGAGAAACACGCACACACAGGCTCCTTTTTTTCAAAGATCTAAAAACTTAAAT